ATGAGATTAATCCGTTGGAATTAAACTTGACAATTTTCTATATTTCAGGGCCTACATGCAACCGTCCGTATAACGGTCCCGCGGTTTGGAAAATGTCATCTAAGGAATGGTATTCCAAAGAATGAAGGTCGTATTTGTGAGGCAATCAATCCAGTAAGTGGAAGAGTTCAGTAGTATTTACCTGTGATTTGGGGCCAGGTACGTTATCTGTTTTAACAAAAGGTCTGGTATACGTTTCATGATTTAAATTCACACGTGAATGCGGTTCTGGTGTCTCTTGTGGCTGGGCATAACCTGTCAAAATACATTGCGATAATTGAGGATCTAGATGGGGTTTAATGTTAAGTGTTGACGGCCCATATTCCATATTCTATATCTGGCTACTAACTCTTGACGAAGGGCCTTCGCTCGAAACGTCGAGTTTCTGCTTGTTTATTTCAGGTAGTAATATAACCACTCAGCAGAGCATTTTCATATTCTATAGTGTTTAATGTGGAAACGCTAAAAATTTTGTTGTTTACTGTCATGGAAGACTTAGCAGTTAAGTGTTTTATTAATTACTATAAAAATACCGTGACTATAAAAGGGCCTTAAACTACTAAATTTCAGACTTCATTTATTTTTGTGTGAACCACATATAATTAACAGTATACATTATATTCTGTGAACAATTACGTGCTTTTATATATCGTCATCAAATTTAGCAAAATTTTACTGTTGTTTTTTACTGTTACTGTTAAATTACTGAAAAAATCTAATGTTTACTGTTTTGGACACCACCCTTCTGGACCCTCATAATTGTGCAGTTAGTGAAGAAAGCACCATATTGACAGGATGTGTAGACTTTCACACAAGTATGGATATCAGATATGGAGGCATCTGTGAAATTAACGCTGATAGCTAAAAATTTTGAATTTCTGACATTTTAATATAAGTTTCTATTACTGATAGAAATTTTAAAATTCCAAGGTAGCTCATATAGGACGTATAGTGATTTGCTTTGTAAAAAATTTCCTATGTATCTTTTAAAATTTCCTTTCATTGGCTGTTTTATTAACTTTCAAAAATTGAAAAATCGCGCCGCGTTGTCGAATCGCGTCCGGTGTGTCTCGGGCCGATCGAAAAGGAACGAGTTAGTCGGACAATGAATTTTGCACTGTCAGAATATGCTCTTTGCACTATCAGAATTTACATGGACCTCTATGAAGAACAGTTTAGAACTGATAGAGCTATCCAGTGGTTAGCTTAGGTTTTGGATGGGTAAGGAGTGGCCCATGATGGAATTCTACGGGGAAATGTTTAGAACTGATAGATCTATCCAGCAAGAATAAAATTAGTGTAAAGTATTTCAAAATTGATTTCAAAGAAGTCCATCCATATTACATACAGAATGATCTTGCTGCTCGTAGAGGCAAAGCACTCAATGAAGCCAATCTTCTCATCTTCAGTTATGAAATTTTGGTAGAACTAAATAAGTAATGACAATTGGTCAAGCAAAGCAAAATACACCCTACGGTCATATTATACGTATTTGTTCAGAGAGGAATATTTATTCATAACAAGGGTGTGGTATTTTCAGCTGTGATATCGTGTTTGTATATACCGGTATTCGGTAAGTCAGGGCTCAAAATAACGGGAGATAGGTTTCCGGTCCAAAATGACCGGTCAATTTGATTTTAGCTCGGTCAAAATCTGTTTTTGACCGGTCATTGATACGCTTACACTAACAGTGAAACAAACTAATAGGAACTTGTATCATACATCATAGTTTCATGTTTTAATTCAAGACGTCAGCAATCACATTGGAAGGCATGAAAATGTGGCCGGTCAAAATGACCTGTGAGGTAAAAAAGTGACCGGTCAAGAGGCATTTTTGGCCGGTCATTGTCCGTTGACCGGCCGTTATTTTGAGCCCTGGGTATATTATTATAAAGGTCGGTACACACTAGGCGACAAATCGCTGCAACACGTCACTGCAACAAATCGCTCGATCGTGTGTACAGTCAGGCGACAAGACAAATCGCCACGTGTGCAGCCACTACTTCTCGAAACAAATCGCTGCAATACTCTGTGGCTGTGATGCGTTTCGAGGGGCAAATCACTCCTAAAAAGTGTACGAGATCAAAAAATCATGTGATTTTTTTTGTGATTTTTTTATTTTTCAAGGACTTTTTTATTTTTTTAAAATCTTTTTTCCCCATTCTCCTTTAAAATTTTTTTTCAAATAATACTTATTTCTTCAAATTTTGTGGAAAGTTTTGTGTTTTCTCTCACTCTTTGCTTTTTTAGCACTTTTTAATTTTTTTGATGACGTGTTTTTTAATATTTTTGTTGATTTTTTATTTTATTTTTTTTGTGATTTTTCTGAGGGTATACGTGATTTAAATCAGTGATTTGCCCCTCGATGCGTTTCGTATGAGGGGAATTGTAAACTAGTTAAAAATGGCGAGCAAGAGACTACAGAAAATGTGTTAGTTCTTTTAATGATGCTACCGGATGACGAAGAACACAAAAACGTCAACAGAAAATGCTAGACTGGACGCACCAGTGGGTTTCATCGGGTTAATTTGTATTTTGTTGCCATGACATGTTACAAAAATGTTCACACGCTGTGCACGGAGCAATAATGATATTTTATCTGATTTTGTCGCCGCGCCTAGGTCGCACAAAATCAAACCAGTTTGAATTTGTGCGACATGTTGCGGCGGCAAAATTCTGTTGCGGCTACTGAAAAACTTTCACTAAAGTTATCCTGTTCACACGAAGAAATTTGTCGCTGCGACGTGTTGCAGCGGTTTGCCGCCTAGTGTGTACCGACCTTGAACATGTGAAGGAAATACAACTACCTGCAAAATATAAGCAGTGCTTCGACGTTTCGAGCGACGGTCCGCATTCACACCATCACACTATGGCTAGCATACTATTCACTTCGTTTGTTAGTGTTGTGTTTACACTATAACAGAGTGGTTTGCCGTAGCATACCAAGAACAGACCACTATACGCTTGGCAATCCGGATGCAAATGAAATACGCTACGGTAAATTTGCCGCAGGCCCATGGTTTATATACTATCAAAGTTTCTATGATCACATTAGGAATTTTGCATAGGTAAATTCTAAGTTGCGAAGGATTTGTACGAAATGTTTGAGGAAACTGACTCAGTTCCCTCAAAGATTTCTTACAACTTACAAGTCCTTCAAAACTTAGAACTAGTTACCTATGGCTATGCAAAATTCCTACTGTGATCATAGAAACATTGATCGACCTTTATAGACTTTTGCACAGGCTTTCGTCTTTACCTTGAACCAAAGGAATTTTAGAGGAAATGTCCTTATAAATGTCGGTGAATCGGTCACTCACTATAAACAGTGGAGGTGGACTTGGAGCAAGTCTACTAGCGTTGTACATAGTCTAAACGCGGGCCACGCGGCCTTAATAGTATTTGTAGCTTCTGTACTACCCTCCTGATAGCTAACTTTCCGACGGAGGTTGCTTCGCTCGAAACGTCGAAGGAAACTACCGGTCAGACGAGGAACTGTCAAGAAATTTTGATCATATGCAGGCAACTATTTGATAAACGACAGAATTGCGCAATATACTAAAACTGTCTGTACCAGTGTGGGTAGTACCAATGTGAAAATGCTGTGCCGAGTGGTTATATTACTATCTGAAAGGGACAAGCAGAAACTCGACGTTTAGCTAGGGCCTTCGCTCGAAACGTCGAGTTTCTGTTTGTTTCTTTCAGGTTGTAATACAAGTCATTACTCATATAACCATTCAGCACAGAATTGTGCAATAATGGCAATGTTTTGAAATTTGAATAGTGATTGCAGATTGCTGTCCAACAGGTGATATTGTATTGATACAGTGATGTATGATTGAACAAGCTTTCGTTAATTGGCAGGGGTGCAACTACCTGAAAAATATAAGGAGAATTTCGACGTTCCAAGCGAAGGCCCTACGTCTGAGTTTAACACGCGGGAAATATACCCGCAAAATGTAAGGCATGCAGGTAGTTGGACACTCGATATTTGTCCTTGTAATTGTCAACCTCGTTCCCTGGGTATTTGCTCTTGGGAAGCAAAGACCCTGGTGGACGCTGGTCACGTGATCTGCTAAAATCTAGCAGATTTTTAATTAGCGTTGTTTTGTCAATCTGGGAGGGGTGGGAATGTAGTAGTTGACATTCCCCAGATGCATTAGTATTAATAAACATGATTTATACTGTTCTAAATTCGTCCTCATCATGACAAGATTTCCTGCTATATTGAATGTCATCAATAATAAGTGCTGCGGTACATTTCAAGCGAGAAGCTGGATCATACTCCACACTCGCCTGGCTAGTGAGCACGCATCAGATCGCCGTATAAACATACATATCTGATATCTTCTACACCGACTGATCGATCAAGCGGTATTTATATAAAACGAACGATATGATATGGTTGTTTATAGTTGAAATGTATCCTGTCCGATATTCAAAACAAAGGATTTATTTTATAACGGGATCCTTTGATTTCCCAACTGAAGTACTGAACATCGCCAACTGTGTATATAAAAACAATAGTGCTGTTTTGACTGTGAATTACAGTAAGCACAGGATTAAAACCCGTTATTCCTTTTATTTACATTGCTGAAACAGCTCTGAAGCTCAACGATCAAGAATGATATATGTCGAAGTACAGCTACAGTATACTGTTATCACACCCCAAGATTCCTCGGTGCGTGCGGTACAACTTGAATAATAATATAAATATATATCCCTGATAAAACGTATAGGGACACTTCGTATACCAGATATAATAACAAATACTTTGCTAAATCTTTTCGGATATCATTCCTTTGCATTTAGGGTGGGAGGCAACCTCGTTCCCAGGGTATTTGCTCTTGGTATAATAACAAATACTTTGCTAAATCTTTTCGGATATCATTCCTTTGCATTTAGGGTGGGAGGGTGAATGGCGATAGCTATAATTTATTATAGGAGATTCTGTGCAATATTTTGGCTCAACAAACAGGTAGTCGTGAAGACAAAAAAGTGCACTGTCGAGTGTCGATTCCAAACAATTTTGTCAGTCGCTTTTGATACCTCTATTTTACCAAATTTATACCGTTTCCTTTCTATATGACAACAATTCAATGGCATATTATAAGAATATTGTAAATATCTGAACCAGAGGCAGAGCCAGGACAGAAACGTACGTATGAAATGAAAATATTGCGCCCGAACCCCGAGAGAATATTAAAAACGCAAATATTTCAAACCATACGGTCATACGTTTTCGTTGCTTGATTTGCTGACTTGTCTGTTAGTACAAGAATCTGCATTTTACCATGTTTGTATAATTTAAAACGGCAAACAGAAACCAATTTAGCAAGAATTTTGAAGAATATATGATTCTCAAAGATTATTGTACAGCCATAGTAGCCCAGACACACTGTGCGATTTAAATTTAAATGCTTGGCATACTTAATTACCCCCTGCGGTATCGATTTCAAAATAATAATGTTAACGATCAGCTCAAAAATATTCCGAATTTTACACTAAAATGTATCACTAATCAATGCTTATCGTTGAAGGAAATATACTTAGGTACATAGCATGCGCATGCATCAACATAAATAGTTTATACCTTTAGTAGACACACTTGAAATCCAGCTTTAAAATCATGACATTCACGGCGACGCGGCGGAGGAGGGGATGTCATGATTTTAAAGCTGGATTTCAAGTGCTTCTACTAAAGGTATAAACTACTTATTTGTGCTGATGCATGCTATGTACCTAAGTATATTTCCTTCAACGATAAGTATTGATTAGTGATACATTTTAGTGTAAAAATTCTGAATACTTATAAGCTAATCGTCAACATTATTATTTTGAAATCGATACCGCATGGGGTAATTAAGTATGCCAAGCATTTAAATTTAAATCGCACAGTGTAATCGCACTCCTTGCAATCGAAGTGTGAAGTGCGGAAGTGGAAACATGTAATATGAGACCTTTCCATCCCCCTCTGAGGCTATCAATTTTCTATGGGTCACGTGACCAGCGTCCACCAGGGTCTTTGCTTCCCAAGAGCAAATACCCTGGGAACGAGGTTGAGGTTTACGCGGATTGGACGTCAGTTTCATTCCCCCTCTTGCAAACCGTTGCACGGCCAGTATAAATTTGAACGCAATCACGAAAAAACAATTAAAAACATGATGGCCAACTCAATGCAATACATTGTAGGAGCAAACTGTTTTGCTCCTAAAATTTACTGCATTGAGTTCGCGGTCGGAAAAAAGTCGAGGAAAACTTCCCTGTGTGGAGAAAAGAATCACTTTTTCGAATATATTGTGTCGTACTGTCGTTCTGGATGCACAAGGAAAGAGATATTCTTGCGAGAAAATTTCATTTCACAGGTAGGTAAATTGACTTGCAACTGTGACTTTGCCGTTGCCATTTTTCGCGATTGTTTGAATTGTTTTTAGTTTACCAGTTTTATAGTTTTTAGTCAATACACTGGTACGTTATTTTTTAAAGAATTTATGTGTGATCGGAATTTGCCTGCCAGCAAAATGCAAATGAATATGTACGTGTGTTTGAATATAAATTAGACCATATGGGCTTAGTAAAAAATTATTTTAATAACTACGTTTCGGAGTATAACTCCATCTTCAGGTTAATTAAAAGTGAATAAAGATATAAAAACTGTGATAAAAACTTTCAAAACAATTACAAATTTTATATAAGTGATTTTTAATACTGTAAGAAAGTTCTTGA